TACAACCAAACACTGAACAAGATATTTTAGGCAAACAAAACGTTACCACTAACTTTCATGAACTGAAAACATGTCATACCTCCAACACACAGCTCTGTGCTCTATGCTGATTGATAGGCAGGTCGCCTAGTGTGCTATGGTAGCCACACCCTAATACATACCCTGCTTTATATCTATTTTCCTCTGAATGGGACCATAATTTCATAAATGAACATAATGCTGTATTGAGGAAGAGTTTAAAGTAGTGACTGAGACCATAAACCCATTAGGAGAACGTTTACTGAGGTAATCAATATGTTATGGTCATTTCCCATAGACTTCTACACAATCAGACTTCTTCTGCAATCAGTGGAGTCGCCCACTGATGGTTATTAGAAAGAATACAGGTTTAAGGCACTTCTGCATTGGCTTCACTTTTCAGACCAGGAGTCTCCATTTTTATACAGTATGTCATAAATAGGTAGCCTAATGCAATAGCACGACAAACGGCAACAACTGAAAGATATAAATTAGAGATAAAGATCCTCCTTTAATACAAGCTTGTCTCAAATAAAGGTCTGTAACCTTTTGCAACTGAGGTAAATAAAGGCCCTGATCACTTTTTGAGGAAATACCTTACTTGAAAATTATTGTGGATCCCAGACTGAGGCTGTGCACTGTGCGAGAGACAGAAAGAATAAGAAAGATATTCTGCTGTTTCTAACTTTCTCTCTGAGCAATCATTTTACAAGCACATATAGCTGAGATCACAGCACAGCCTTTGTCTTTTCATTTTGTCAGATGATGTCACGGTTATAAAATCAGGAGTTTAGCAGTGCAGAGCAGCAGCTTGGACATAGCTTGGAAGTTAACGTAGTCTTAATGGGCTGCATTTCAGTCAGTATTTCAAACCTATTCTGTTGTCTGACAACAGAAAAAGAAAGAATATGTAAATGAGAACTGCTTTATTTGAATTTTGGCTTTTTTTATTTATTTATTTATTTATTATAATTGTGTAATTGAGTGATTTCATGTCTTTGCGTTTTTTGTCTCGTCACTTCCCTGAGTCAACAGTTTTCAGGTGTTCTAATCTAAAGACACATGAGGTTTTTTTCTGGTGAAAACCACATTCTGGCTGTGGCTGTGAACCAGGCCATCTGCAGAGCTGCAGCCATGTCTTCACAGCATAACTCCATCCATGTCAAGGTTAACAATTACAAATTACATCCTGCGCTAAATTCAGACTGTCCTGAAACAATCTTACATGCAATATTTAGTTTAGAAAATAGTCACAGCATCAAAGTAAACTGGTTTATGCAGATACCAATAGAAATTGTAGTTTTTGTTCATCAGATAAGTTTGCTAATTTGAAGGGCATACAGCCAGTTATGTAATCAGAAGTCATCCATGTCATATGAATAATGATTTTTCATGTAAATCTAGAAATGTGCTACATTAAATTTAAAAACCATATTTGAATGCTTGTTACTACAGTGCCCCTCTTTTAAAATTGCATTCAAATTTCTTCCTAAAAGGTTTATAGATTATATAATTTAAGATACACGGCATATTAGTACACTCCACCCCACAACCAACAATGTATTTGCTTTGCCTGTAGCCAGAATTTTTTTTTCCAGGATCCTAATTGGTCAAAAATAACAGTGGGAGGAGTGTTCAGCAGGGAAAAGGGAGAGGTACCTCTGTATATAAACCAGGGCTCCAGGTGAAGTCTCTCATCAACAGGATCACACAGCAACCATGAGGTCTCTGGTTTTTGTTCTGCTCATCGGAGCTGCCTGTAAGCATATGTCTTTCTGCTTGTACTTGATTTTAATAAGTGAATTATAAAAACATTCACTTGGTTCCTGACTGTTCGGCCTCCTGTGTGTTTTCAGTTGCCACAGAGGACGACAAGATCGTCGGAGGGTATGAATGCACACCCTACTCCCAGCCCCATCAGGTGTCTCTGAACTCTGGCTACCACTTCTGTGGAGGCTCCCTGGTCAACGAGAACTGGGTTGTGTCTGCTGCTCACTGCTACAAGTCGTATGTCACTCCTTAATATTACAAAGACAAAAGGTTTTTCAAGAATTAATGTGCTTTTAACTCGCATCATGAAATTCAGCTCTCAAACATCCTCTCGTTCTACTCCAGCCGTGTGGAGGTGCGTATGGGCGAGCACAACATCAAGGTCAATGAGGGAACCGAGCAGTTCATCAGCTCCTC